TTAGTAACACATAAACCTGTGTACATTAGTGACACATAAACCTGTGTACATTAGTAACACATAAGCCTGTGTACATTAGTAACACATAAACCTGTGTACATTAGTAACACATAAACCTGTGTACATTAGTAACACATAAACCTGTGTACATTAGTAACACATAAACCTGTGTACATTAGTAACACATAAGCCTGTGTACATTAGTAACACATAAACCTGTGTACATTAGTGACACATAAACCTGTGTACATTAGTAACACATAAACCTGTGTACATTAGTAACACATAAACCTGTGTACATTAGTAACACATAAACCTGTGTACTTTAGTAGCACATAAACCTGTGTACATTAGTAACACATAAACCTGTGTACATTAGTAACACATAAGCCTGTGTACATTAGTAACACATAAACCTGTGTACATTAGTAACACATAAGCCTGTGTACATTAGTAACACATAAACCTGTGTACATTAGTAACACATAAGCCTGTGTACATTAGTAACACATAAACCTGTGTACATTAGTAACACATAAACCTGTGTACATTAGTAACACATAAGCCTGTGTACATTAGTAACACATAAGCCTGTGTACATTAGTAACACATAAGCCTGTGTACATTAGTAACACATAAACCTGTGTACTTTAGTAACACATAAACCTGTGTACATTAGTAACACATAAACCTGTGTACATTAGTAACACATAAGCCTGTGTACATTAGTAACACATAAGCCTGTGTACATTAGTAACACATAAACCTGTGTACATTAGTAACACATAAACCTGTGTACTTTAGTAACACATAAACCTGTGTACATTAGTAACACATAAACCTGTGTACTTTAGTAACACATAAACCTGTGTACATTAGTAACACATACGCCTGTGTACATTAGTAACACATAAGCCTGTGTACATTAGTAACACATAAGCCTGTGTACATTAGTAACACATAAACCTGTGTACATTAGTAACACATAAACCTGTGTACATTAGTAACACATAAACCTGTGTACTTTAGTAACACATAAACCTGTGTACATTAGTAACACATAAACCTGTGTACATTAGTAACACATAAGCCTGTGTACATTAGTAACACATAAACCTGTGTACATTAGTAACACATAAGCCTGTGTACATTAGTAACACATAAACCTGTGTACATTAGTAACACATAAACCTGTGTACATTAGTAACACATAAACCTGTGTACATTAGTAACACATAAACCTGTGTACTTTAGTAACACATAAACCTGTGTACATTAGTAACACATAAACCTGTGTACTTTAGTAACACATAAACCTGTGTACATTAGTAACACATACGCCTGTGTACATTAGTAACACATAAGCCTGTGTACATTAGTAACACATAAGCCTGTGTACTTTAGTAACACATAAACCTGTGTACATTAGTAACACATAAACCTGTGTACATTAGTAACACATAAACCTGTGTACATTAGTAACACATAAGCCTGTGTACATTAGTAACACATAAACCTGTGTACTTTAGTAACACATAAACCTGTGTACATTAGTAACACATAAACCTGTGTACATTAGTAACACATAAGCCTGTGTACATTAGTAACACATAAGCCTGTGTACATTAGTAACACATTAGCCTGTGTACATTAGTAACACATAAACCTGTGTACATTAGTAACACATAAGCCTGTGTACATTAGTAACACATAAACCTGTGTACATTAGTAACACATAAGCCTGTGTACATTAGTAACACATAAGCCTGTGTACATTAGTAACACATAAGCCTGTGTACATTAGTAACTAGGGATGGGAATCGAGAACTGGTTCTTCTTCAGAACCGGTTCCCAGTTAACCAATTCCTTGGAACCGTTAGTATGGCTGCTTAACGATTCCGCTTATCGGTTCCGCACGTTGCAAATGTGTCATGACGTCACACACGCGCTGCGTTATTTTGATTCAGAACGCAACAAACATGGCATCGAGACAGAAGTGCTCGTTTGGTTATATTTCACGCGAAAAGACGACAATATGTGAGGTGCCGTCTAGGGCTTAAATCAAACTTCATTCACGCACACAAATATGAAACACTTGCATAAACGTATACTAAGTAGTCAAACATACATGTATACTGCTGAATGCTCAAACAAATACATATGAAATGCATAACGAAACACCTAAAGTCGCTCACGCATACACGCGAACTCTACACACACGAGATGCGCGAAACTCTCCAGGCACATACTCATATGAGACGCGCGCGCACACACAAACTCTCCAGGCACATACTCATATGAGACGCGCGCGCACACACAAACTCTCCACGCACATACTTATATGAGACGCGCGCGCACACACAAACTCTCCAAGCACATACTCATGAGACGCGAGCACACACACACTCAAACTCGCGCACATACTCAATAAGAGTATGACGGCGCCTCATAACAATATGGTCACTTGTTGCAACACCTGTAAAATTTCCATTTCGTCAAAGGGGGGGACCTCCAATATGCAGAAACATTTGGCCACACATCATGAACAGACTTTAGTCCCATGAAACTTAAACTGGAATGTCACTGTTTCTGTCACTGCGACTTCACGAACGGGTGAACACGCGCACGCACACATCACTTTTGAAGTAAAATTGAGGATGCAGTGCATGTAATGCATCGAGATATCGAATTAAACTGAATCGATGACATGATAATTGTAATCGAACCGAACCGTGAGACCAGTGTAGGTTCACACCCCTAATACGCTGTGCTGTGTCAGCGAGTTAATAATAATTAACAAACAAATAAGTTATAAGTTCAATAAGTTAATACAAACAAACAAATTTGTACTTTTTCCCTCACCCAATGAGAATCGATAAGAGAATCGATAAGGAATCGAATCGATAAGCAATATCGATAATGGAATCGGAATCGTTAAATTCTTATCAATTCCCATCCCTATTAGTAACACATAAGCCTGTGTACATGAGTTCAAGCTGTCACTTCTCCTCAGACTAGATGATGTGACAGCAGTGTGTTGTGCTAAACACGCAGTGGTCTGGGTTGTGTTAGCGAGCGTTTCGATCTGACAGCTCATCCTTTTTAGGAGAGGAATTTCAGCATGTTCCCCACGATTACAGATAACCGATTATCAGTTTCTCTTTCTCTTCTCATGCTTCTAAAGTTTTGAAATCTCCTCTTTTGTTTTGGCCTGCAAAGCGTTTCTACCGTTTCACCCTTTCAGACTTTCTAGGAAACGGACGTGTGGAGAGTGAGTCACTGAGGATGTGTTAGGGTTTCAGATGAGCTGGTGCTCGCGGGGAAACTCGCTCACCTGGTGAATCAGTGTGTGTGACGTCACGAGGACCTCAGCGTGAGCATTAGCCTCTGAACACCAACCACAGCTAAACACACTGACCTGTGTAGACCTGTGTACCTGTGTGTGTGTGTGTGTGTGTGTGTGTGTGACGTCACTGAGAGGGAAGCCTCTGTGTTTCAGTCACTCCTAGCATACACTCATTATGATAAGCAGCTTTAGCTTTGGGAAAGGCAATCTCCATGAGTTCACAAACACAGGCTCCGTACAAGTGCTTGAAGTGCTTCAACTAGAATTTTTGTAATTTAAGTAAATTTAAGTTAAAACAGGTACTTGAAAAGTGCTTGAGTTATTAAAAAAAAAATATACAATACATGTATACATATGAAATTAGTGTTGTTGTTGTTTTTACGCAAAAGTAATGCTTCTGCCCGTCTGATTTAAATATTGAGTCATTTCACATGGCTATTAGCGTGATATTGCTCATATATTTCCAATTATATAATACAACTTTTATTCTTCTGGTCAATCATACAGTATATTCATGAGGGAAAAATCAGTCAGAATGAGGAAAGGGTTAAGGGGGTTACACATGATGGACTTGAATAGGATTTAGAAATCCTATTAAAATTGCATTTCTGAAATACCTTTTTTAGAATTTGAAAGATAATAAAGATATTGTTTGATAAGTGAGATCTCTGATTGTACTCCTAGAAAAATCAAAAACAGTAGTGCTTGAAAAGTCATTGAAAGTCCTGGAATTTCATTTGTCAGTATCTGAATGAACACTGTAAACATCCTCATCTTCATTTACACTCAGATCTGTGAGGTTAATTTGTGCAAGAGTTTCACTCACATTTTCGACTAAAAATAAATGTGTGCAAACTGTAATGTAATTTTTAAAATGCATTACTTTTTTTTTTAAATCTTAGGTAAAAAATATTTTAAATGGCATAACAAACATCTTAATGATTATTTTAAGAGGTCTTAAATGTGGAGATGTAAAAACAGGAATGTGACACAGCCTAATGTGATTATTAAACTTCAAAAGGCTATGATTTAATTAATAAATGAGTGCTGCACGTTTCAAACGATTGGTTATGATTTACTGTTGACGAATTATGACTATGTTTACAGTTGTAAGCGTGCATATTTTCTCATCTTTTTGAATAAGCAGCTGGCAATAGTAAAGCATTGACATTTCAAAATAAGAGTCCCGGTGTGTTTTAGTCATGCATTATTCATAGATTTGTTTTTCCTGGATGTTCTTGGTATCTGGTTACACACTGTAACTAGGGTTTAATTCAACATAAACACTTGTATTTTCTGTCACAGGAAGGAAAGACTGAGAACATTATTTAACACATAATATTTAATATACAGTTTTTACTGTACAATAATCTGAACAATAATCTGTTTACTACAGTGCGCCCCTAAAGTTTTTTAATGCACTCCAAAACGTGACATCCGGCCTAGGAGAATTGACATCTTCACCCTTTATTCAAATATTATTAAATAGTTATAGATTTTGTAAGCATATTGCATAGTTGTGCTTGGAGTAAAACGCAATGAGACATGACAAACTGTGGCGACATTGTTTAATTTTTTTACCAAACGTAATATGCTAAGTCTAACTGTTGTTTATTGGTTGCGTAACACATGCTCTCTCTCTCTTTCTCTCCAGCTTTGACGTGGACAATGGCACGTCGTCAGGACGGAGTCCCCTGGATCCCATGACGAGTCCGGGTTCGGGTCTGATCATTCAGGCTAACTTCGTGCACAGCCAGCGGAGGGAGTCCTTCCTCTACCGCTCCGACAGCGACTATGACCTGTCGCCGAAGTCCATGTCCCGAAACTCCTCCATCGCCAGTGACATGTGAGCACTCCAAAACATTTCAAATGTGCCATTCTCCCATTATCCTTTGCTTTATTTGAGGTCAGTTGAGTTTTCTTTTCTTTGGACACGCTTTTGTTTCACAGAAGCACACTTAGAAATGAGATGCTTGTGTCGTGGTTCATCATCATTTCATTGGTCCATGCAGCTATACAAACACCCATTTCTTACAGTTTTCCTGTCCAGTAACCAAAAAAAAGTTAAAGAATAGTGATCTCATTTGTTTGTCAAGGACCAATTAGCCAAACCCAAATTATGCTAATTCAAATCAGGCCCACATAAACATTTAGATGTCTCATCCTTTGATGACATTGTGCGTGTGTGTGTGTGTGTGTGTGTGTGTGAGAGAGTGTATGTGTGTGTGTGTACGTGTACATGTGTGTTTGCCCTCAGGTCACATGACCCTCTTGTTTTTACCTCTGCTTTTCTCTCTCTGTCTACTTCGTTTCTCTCAAACACACAATGAGGAGAACAAAAGTCTTTATGAACACTATCATTCAAAGTTTGGGGTCAGTAAGATTTTTTTTTGAAAGAAATAAAACATTTATAATGTTACAAAAGATTTTGATCACAAATAAATGCTGTTCTTTCTATTCATGGAAAGATCCTGATAAAATGTATCACGGTTTCCACAAAAATATGAAGCATCGCAACTGTTTTCAACATTGATAATAATCATAAATGTTTCTTGAGCATCAGATCATCATATTAGAGTGATTTCTGAAGGATCATGTGACACTGAAGACTGGAGTAATGATGCTGAAAACTCAGCTTTGATCACAGGAATAAATGACATATTACACTATATTCACATAGAAAAAAAGCTATTTAGAATTATATTGTTATTTCACAATTTTTACTGTATTTTGATCAAATAAATGCAGCCTTGTTGAGAAGAAAAGACTTTAAAAAATCTTACCAACACCAGACTTTTAAACGCTAGTGTAAATATTTCCTCTCACGCTCATGTTGTTCCAAACATGTGACTTTCTTTCTTTCATCTGTGGAACAAAATAGGATTTTTTAAAGGATGTGCATGTTGCTTTTCAATTCAGCAAAAGTATATGGTTTCTGGCGGACAAACCAGGATTCATATCTCTGGAAATTGACGAATCTACTGTGAATTTCTTTCAAAAAGTCTAAAAGGCTTATAAAGCCATAGTATTAGTGTTTATCCTTCTTTCGAGAGCACAGTACCCATTAAACATCAAATTTGTAATGATATGAAGGTGAGTAGAAGATTTTTGGATGAACTATTCCTTTAATATGACATTAATAAAGCCAAAGCTAGTAGCTAAAGTCACTGCAGAACCTGAGAGACTGTTTAGCGGCTCTCTGACCTCTTTAGAGACACGCTCGTTCATAACAGCTACTTCTCAAACCACAGAGGCAGAAGAAGCAACGTGTGTGATGCACTCTGTGTGTGTGTGTGTGTGTGTGTGTGTGTGTGCGTTTGTCTGACAAACTGTGTCCTTATCGATAGGAATAACCACCTGCCGAGACCGGGCCTGGTCTCTCGGAGATCTGAGCCGGTTATTAGTGGAAAGTAAGTTGTGGTTCTGGTTCTGGCTCGCAGCTCCTGGCCTTGCTCTTCCTCAAGGAATGCTCTTGCTTGTCTAATTTGCATCACCTTGCTTCACCTGTAGACGCGAGCATCACGGTTTCACATGCATCGAGAACCCTCACCTACACCCTCACCATTTAATGCACAGAATGACAACCAAATCAACCTGATACGCAAACCTCAAGGGATGCAGAGACAGGGATGTGTCTTCAATTGTCAGGTTGATTTGATTGGTTGAAGATTCTGGGCATTAAACCCTGTGTGTGTCGTAAGAGCGTAGGGGAACGCTATGAAAGAAATCGCATGGAGAAGACTGAGTTCGGATGACATGCTGCTTGTGGCTTAGATGTGTGTGAGTGTGTGTCTCCATGATCCTGCATTGCATGTGACACTGATAATAGCAGTTTAGAGGTGCACATGTGACTATTATTATTATTTCCTCCAGCCGCCGTGAATGCGTACACTCTATTCTGTGGCCTAATTTAATGTTCCTCACTAGATTGATCTAATAAAGCAATACAATTCTTGACATTTAATAGAGATAGCATATTTGTAAAGCTTTACGTCAAATGCTGAAATTGATCAATTAGATTCTGGTCTGCAGTCGGCACATTTAAACAGAAGCAAATCCGTCAGCACCCCAAAATTATCATAAATATTGCAGACACTATTGCCATATGTTCACAATGCTTTTAGGAAACGCAACCCTGTGCTTTCATTGCATTGAAACCCAGTGAGCTTCCTAATGCCTAGATAGGGCGCTGCCTTCTTAGACAAGGGACTGGTTTAGAACGCTTTACATTGTTTCATATTTTACTTCACAATTGTTTTCTGTAGCATTTTGCCAATCCAATTAATTCTATGCATGTGCATACATATAAATAGTGTAGATATTTTTTGATTATTATTTTGTATTAATATGTAAAATAATATCAAATAAATTCAAGTATAATACAAAAGTTATATGCATTTAATTATATATTATTTTATAATTATTATAATACTTTTCAGTATTAAATAGGATATATTAATAATTTATGGCTCTCTTTGCAATGCATGAACTCTAAATTCGTATTGGAAGTATTTGCATGCTACTTCTCTTTTGGGACCTTTACATTGCTGCCTTTATCTCACTAGGTTTTGGAACAGAACATAAGAATGCAACAGAATAGAGGTGTAATTATGAACTATTGTAGAAATGACTTCAGTTGCATGACTAAACAAGCACACAAACAGCAGCAGGATCACACAGCCCAGATCATATAGCGAAAGCAAAAGGAACGGTGATGGAGGATATCAGTGCACTTCCTCTCTCTGGCCTGATTTCTGCAAGCTCAGAGCGTTTCTCTATGTAACCCTGCACCCGCTCATGCATTATGTAGAGTCCCGAGGGACGCCGGACGCACGTTTTTATTTCGTTTTGCCAGAGAATCCATTCCTAAACCGGAATGGCAGGAAATATCATGTCGGTTCCCGATATTACCTTCTACCGTCACTGGTGCGCTAGTGCATGTGTAATTAATACTGTTGGAGAGTCTGATTCATTTTTTTGAGAATCCGTTTGATCAGATTTCAATAAAAATGTTCCACTTTATTTTTTGATAGTGAAACACATTTGGTTTTGTTCAGAATGATTCATTTTCAACTTGAAACAGACTCGTCTACATGTTTTCTAGGCGTGCAAGCTTGATTTCGCATGTCATTTCACTCCAGAATATGAGAAAACAACTCATAACACAACTCAAGAACATCTGGCATTCTCTGTGTTGCCACAAGGGGCGCTACAGTGAGCATTATCATAAACTTTATTAAATCTATAGTCAGTTTTTTCTTTCCTACTGTCATGATTGAGCAAACGTTTGAAACTGATCTTAATAAGTAAGCTGGTAAAACCAGTTAAACTGATAATTGAAAGTAAAAATGCATTATAATATTTGCAGATTGTTTGTTTAAGTTTGTTTACTTTCTAAATGTGTAACAATAAATAGGTATTATACTGTAAAGACGCAGACTTCGTTTAAAGTCTGTTTAGAGAGAACGGTGTCGTCTTAGCGGCCCCTAATTTAATAACAAATGATCATTTCACCGGAAGTGAATCAATCAAAACTAACTTTAGCTGGAAAATAACATTATTCAAGAACCGTTATAAAACCAAACCAATCTCTGTTATCTTAAATTATATGTTTATCTCTGTAAAGCTGCTTTGAAACAATCTAAATTGCTAAAAGCGCTATATAAATGAGGATGACTTGACTTGACTGTATTATAACTTTGGTTATAATTATCCATATACAATGCATTATAAAGTGCATTACAAGGCACAATATTTTTATAATGCATTCAAGGCTTCAAGTACAATCTGCAAAGTTATAAAGCACAAAGTCCACGGTAAAATGAGTTAATCGGTCCAACAAAAAACACCTGCCTGAAACGCTTCGTTTGTAGTCCTGACATCATTTCCATTTCATGTTTCCGTTCCGGCTCGCCCTTAAACAAAGTTACTTAAAAGACCAGGAAGAGTTTATCAATATGTCAAGCAAATGCTGTTTTTTTTTTTTTTTTTCACTGATACAGCAAAACTTAGTAACTGTTGTGTTTACAGTGTTTACTCAGGAAGTTATTGTTAGGGGCGTTACATTTCTGACCAACGCGTTAAGCTGTAGACCAATCACAACAGACTGGGGCCTGCTGACCAATCAGAGCAGACCGCAGTTTTCGGAAGGCGGGTTTTAAAGAAACGGAGGGTAAAACAGGCATTTTTTCCGTCATCAACCATGTTGGAGAGCTTTTGGTGTGCACACACCATAAGAAAAACAATGAGCATTCGAACATTAAATCATGTAAATATATTCGGGTACACCCCCTGAACAAATTAACCTGTAAATGAGCAAAATAGGAGCCCTTTTAAACTTTGAAAATATATTTATTAATTACTTTGTTTACTTGGTGACATGAAAGATAGATAGACAGACAGACGGACATCGGCCAAGCATTAGACTGATTTAGCCTAATATTGAAATTCACAGGACTTTAAGACGAGCTGGTTTCATCTGTGTTTTCCACTGAACACCGAAGCTGTCTGTCCATTTAGTTTTTTCTGAAAGCTTTGGCAATCTCAGCATAATGAGCACAGAGCTCATAAATGGCCCACTTTACCAAGAGTTAGCTTCCCACTCTCTATAATGGAGTCACAGACGTGCAGTTCACACACCTGACCTGGACACTTTCTTCTTCCTATGGCAGGAGGTTGTTGCACTTGCTGAAGCCGTGGCCTTGTGCTATGTTTAGCGCTCTGTTTGCGACACACACAGCACAGCGCGTGATACGCTACACACACGCCTGCCGCTGACCTTTTCTTCCCCGACGGCGTGTGGAAATGAAGCCGCCATGCACACATGCACACACATGGAGGAACACACACACGGCATTATGCTAAACCGCAGGAGTGTCAGCGACACACACATGCTGAAACGGACACGAGTCGCGCGTGAAATCGGACGTTTCTTCAGCCTTCCGGATGACAGGCGGAGAGGGTACGTTGTGTGTTCGTGTTGCTCTGGAGGTCTCGTTCTGTGCTCACACACTCACACACTCGTGCTGTAACCCCCACCACTGCGACTAACAGCCACTAGCTGCTCACTAACTGCATTTACAGCGCGCAAATGAGCCTGCAGAACGCTTACAGGTCAGGTTATCCGATTAAAGGGGCGTCCATCCACCCTGACAGTGATTTACTACTTACTGTGGTTCCTACACTTTCAGATAAAAAGGTACAAAAGCTGTCTGGGGTGGTACCTTTCAAAAAGGTACTCTTTTGTACCTAAAGGGTGTATATTGGCACCTTGAATGTACCTAAAGTGTACATGGTAGTATCTAAATGAAACATTCTACATTTAGGTTAATTTCTTCAAAAGTGTACCCTTTTGAAAAGGTACCAACCCAGTGACAGCTTTTGTACCTTTTTAACTGAGAGTGTATTCGGTCATGAAAAACTTTTAGGAAACTATCTAGGAATCAGGCCTCGAAAAATGCACTTTAAGTTAATTTACTGCTTTTAACGGATAGGAAAGTGGACAGACTGAGACTCAAGCATGTGCATGTCCCGCTGTCATGAGTATGACAGTTTAACACAGGACTTTCACCAGATTGCTGAATAAAATCAAAGGTTTTTGCATCATATTATCCATTTCACACCACAACTCCCCATCAGATCAGGACAGTGAGAGTAATGAGTGACAGTGAGACGGGCTAAACTGAACATCTGAATCTCCTACTTGATGGAAATGTTGATGTTTAATCATTTATTATGCATCTCATCCAGTTGATTTTCTATCATGTTTTGTCTTGCATCTTTTTGACTCTATATTCTTTGTGCACAATCATCATCACTAATGTTGCATCATCAAAGTTCCATGGAAGTTAACTATAATTCAGTGCATTATTCCGCAGAAATCACACTTTTCAAGTGACTTTTGGTGTGAAAACGTCTTGTACACAGTTAGACACGAGCAGCATGTGTGATGCTAATCTCACGGTGAGATGTGAAGGAGTTGTAGGTCATCCACACACTGGTAGTGAACATTCACTAGCATTGAAAGCATTAATGCAAGCGTGTCCCTGCCTTGTTGTCTCTTGTCACACAGACAAACCATATCTCATTCCTCCTGAAGGACTAAACGCAAGAATATCATGCATTTCTTTGGAAAAATCTGCACTTTAATTGAGGATATGGTTCGTTTGTCATGACAAATGCATGCAACATTATAAACATGCGTATGACGCGCAGAGAGTCATGGTTTTCTTTGGCTTTGTATTGAGGTGTGTGTGTGTGTCCTGATGTCCTGACTTTGTCCGTTCTCTTGCAGTCATGGAGATGACCTCATCGTTACGCCGTTTGCACAGGTCAGTGACCCAGGAAGCAGTTCATGGTGAACTCTGGGATACATCTCATCCAGCGAATAGACTATCAGGCCCTTCTGCAGTGTTAAAGTCAACATGAAGCTGTTTTGCAACCCATTTTACTTCCGTAATTTGACAAATCGCAGGATATTCAACGTGAAACACTGTAGGATGGGACTTTTATCCATCAGAGGCTGATTGGATTATAAAAAGTGGTTGGAAAATAACAGTGATGAAGAGTCACTTCATCAAAATCATTTCAGATATTTATTTTTAATAAATGATTATGAAAATTAATTTTTGGGAATAACATGCACAAATGAATGCTTCACAAAATGACAGGGAATGTATATCATGTTGACTTTACACACTATTTAATATTAAAAACTAGGGATGCACCAATATAAAAATTCCGGACGATACTGATAACCGATAATTCTTTATATTTGAAAGCCGATAACCGATATATTGGTCGATAAATCTAAATCCAAACTTTTTGAGAGTCTTACCATTAAAAGCCACGTCACAAGCACACAATTATGATGCTCTGATTATAATTTTATGTAGCCGATATGACAGACTTGCGCTGCACATGTTGCACTGAACTGTATTTTCCTTTTTTGAAGTGATTTCAATCATATTTCAAGCAATGCAAAGCCATCATGTTGAACAGTGCACATCTGAAGAGTCTCAGCTGAAGGAAATAATACATTATTTATCGGCTTTAATGTATCGGATAAATTTTCTTATCGGGCCGATAACGATAACATTAAAAATGAACATTTATCAGCCGATACCGATATAGTGGCCGATATATCGTGCATCCCTATTAAAAACCCTTTTTGACAGTATTTCAACCTAATATGTGGGTAAAGCCTCAGAATTTAAAGGAAGCTCTACTTCCTTTAAATTCCTTTAAATGTGAATACTCACATTTTCCCGACTGTATTATTCTGTACAAGCTGAAATGTGATGGATAAAACAAAAGCTAAATGGCATCTTGTGTTTTGCTCTGCTCTTGAAGGTGCTGGCCAGTTTGAGGACGGTACGGAATAATTTTGCAGCGTTAACAAACCTTCAGCAAGATCGAGCGTCCAACAAGTGAGTGCAGTTACACAGTTTTACAAGTGTTCACGAGCGTTGTTGACATACAGCAAGAGCAGAAGAGAGCAAATCACCTGGTACTTTCAAGAATCAAATGTTTAGTTATATATAATGCTTTCTGCTTTTTTCCTCAATTTCCACAGGCGATCCCCCATGTGTAATCAGCCTCCTCTCACAAAGGCCTCCTTCACAGGTGAGATTTCCCATTGGGTTTCATAATATTCCAGGAATTTAAAGGGTCATGAAACCCCGTTTCAGCACCAGTCAGTTTTCTCCACAGTTTGGAAAAATACTACAAAAGTAGCCGTGAGAGACCGAAAACACAGCAACGGCTTCTGATCCAGACAGTTTTATTTCACAATATACACATATTATACATGGTTCATCGTCAATTACACAAATCATGTGAGCAATCATTTAATGCCGATAACCGATAATTATTTATATTTGAAAGCCGATAACCGATATATTGGTCGATAAATCTAAATCAAAATTTGTATATACTTTTTGAGAGTCTTACCATTAAAAGCCATGTCCCAAGCACACAATTATGATGTTCTGATTATAATTTTATGTAGCCGATATGACAGACTTGCACTGCACATGTTGCACTGAACTGTATTTTCCTTTTTTGAAGTGATTCCAATCATATTTCAAGCAATTCAAAGCCATCATGTTGAACAGTGCGCATCTAAAGTTTTTCAACTGAAGGAAATAATACATTATTTATAAATGCACAGCCGTTCGCATTTGTACTCTGCATCAAAAACATATATCAACACACTTTTGTATCTTTAATACGTTTTGTGGCTTATTTTGCTGCAGTATATATGCAGTTTGATCGGTTAAAGGACCGTAAAGACCGGTTACACTCACAGTGTGGAAGAATCGTGTTTGTGTTGAAGACTCGGGATCTATTGAAGAGAACTCGTGCCATGCAGAAACTCTTGCAAAGCAAAACAAACACTCGTTTTTGACCCATTACTGCATCTCTCACGTACTGTGTGATCATCTCACTGTTTGAAGCGCCTGTCATAGGAAATCAACGCGTGCTGTCGTGAATATTTAAGCGAGGTATCTTCTCATTGGATAACGACATGCAGTCTCGTTAATAATTATGAGTCATCGATGTACTATAGTACACGTCACATCTTGTAACGCTGACACAAATTTAAACCTGGAAAAAGCTTAAAATTAACTAGTTTTTTTCTACAATTAAAACAAATGAATGGTAACATTGTCTTCTATGATGTTCAACACCCTAGCTTAGGGTTTCATGACCCTTTAAGTAAAAATGAACTTTGATTTTAAACCTTTAAACCAATTCACTGTGTTCTCCTGTTCTCTCTTGTGATTTATCAATATTGAGCATTTCATATTGAAATATGTGACTTTGGTGTTTGAGCAGAGTTTGAGATCTCTTTAAGTACACTGGGGTGTTTGTCTAAGGAGAAGCAGGAGATTTAAAGTCTCATTTGCTGTGATTCGTTCCTGTTGGTTGTGTTGGATTCAGCGCTCTTGATCAAACCTGTCATAGCAGCAGTGAACCTCTAGGGAGCGACACAAATACATAAGCAATACATATTTCTACATTAGTGTAGAAAACATGGACATCTACTGAAAAGCTTTCCTAGATTGCTGTTATGGAGGATCAACTCTCTATTAAATACCAATACTTTTCAAGCACATAAACACTACTGGTCAAAAGTTTGTAATAATTAAGATTTAAAAATTTTTAAAGTGACTTGCTCAACCAGGCTGATAAAATACAGTAAAAACAGTAATATTGTGAAATATTATTATAACGGGATTGGATATATTTTAATATTCATTCTAATATGCTGTTTTGCTGCTCAAGAAACATTTATTATTATCAATGTTGAGCACAGTTGTGCTGCTTTATATTTTTGTGGAAACCGTGATACACTATCGTTCAAAAGTTTGGGGTAAGTGTTTAAAAAATGAAGAGAAAATAAAGCAAGCAAGGATGCGCTAAATTGATCAAAAGTGACAGTAAAGGTAATTCTATTAGAAGTAAATGCTGTTCTTTTGAACTCTCTATTGAGCAAAAACGCCTGAAAATATGAATTATGGTTTCCTCAAGAATATCAAGATATATATTTTTTTTATTATTATTATTAATAATTGAGCAACAAATATAAATAAACACCAAATCATCATATTAGAGTGATTTCTGAAGGATCATGTGACACTGAAGACTGGAGTAATGATGCTGAAAATTCAGCTTTGATCACAGGAATAAATCATATTTTACTATATATTCACATAGAAAACAGTTATTTCAAATTGTAATAATATTTCACAGTTTTTACTGTATTTTTTATCAAATAAACGTGAGCGGAAGAGACTTACAAAAACATAAAAACCTTAATTATTACAAACATTTGACTAGTAGTATAGGTCTGATCTTTGTAAAGAAGTAAACATAACCTGCTTTGACATTGGCGAATCTTTCACCCCGTTCAAAGCTGATATTAATAGACATGGCGCAGCTGGCAGCCCATCAAACTGACACCATACTCGCATAAACACGCCATCTCGCTTACACGCTCGGCCAGAGACATGCTTTCAGTGCAGGAACACACGTGCCAGAGCAAGACGAGTCCGTCAATCAAGATGCTCCCCATCACTCGTCTACAAAGCCTGATATGAGAACGCTCGTAAACATACACAACTCACATCTGCATTTGAGAAAGGGATGAAAATGAAGCCGGAAAATCAAAGATGTACTTTCATCAGTGGCACCTGATTCGGCCCACTATTGGCTGCTTCTACACTCTAAAAACACACTGGGCAACCCAAGGGCTGGGTAAATATAGGACATAACACATGTTGGGTTAGTTTTAACCAGCAAATTTAACCCAGGATAATGGTTTGATTCATTTTACTATAATACTAGCTTCTTTTTTTCTTTTTTTTACTTCATACATGAATTTATGTTTACAGATTAAATTAAATCCTCTAAACTTTAAAACAAATTAAATAATAATACTCCAGACAACCACTGGTTTGCATGATAATTCCTTTATTTTCATATTTTACAGTATTTTATATTTCATATTTTATATAGTTTTGAAAACATATTGCATACATTTAAGCTCATTTAACAAATATTAGAAGTAAAAATTAAAACATTTGTGAGTAATTCAAGTGTAATCGAGGAATCTCTGTAGTCTCTCAGCGGTGGTCCCTGCGTTTCACTCGTAGCCCAAAATATGCTGTGACTGATTCCATAACCTGTCCATAAACAATCAGTGTACTTTTCTGAGAACATATTAACCTTCTAATTATTTATATTCTGTATCTTTTTTTGAATAAAATCGTAAAATGTAAGATCGACGCGACACTCGTTTCGGTGACTCACATTGCGCCCCTGTATGATTAAATAATGTACAGAACAATAACGAATTTATAGATAAAATAAAATGTACACAAATCTGTGTTTTACAGAAGACATGCACCAATTTGACACCAATCCTGAAGAGGTCGCAAAAACCCCTGCAATAAATAACTCAACCCCTGGGTTGTTACGGCCGACCCAAGATCTGGGTTACACAAAAACTACCCAAACACTGAAAAAATAACCCCCAAAAATTGGGGTTACAACCCAGGATTTGGGTTGGAATGTGTATATATAAAACAGAGAGACTACGCCCCTTGCTCTCTAAAGATCTGACGATGGCTGATGGCATAACATGATCTCAGAAAGACAGTCTCACAAGAATGTCCTGGTTTCAACACTGGCGCCGCTCATCTAGGTGATCTGAAGGTGTTCGCGTCAGCCTCGGGTTCTGTTTCCCACGCCTGCTTTCTCACTATCACTGGAGAGGTCTTGTGTATGTCAGGACTGCTGACCCACTGACGGGTGACATTAAGGGTTTCTCAGAAAGCGTCCGCCAGCTGGTGGCTCTGGGTGATTTATCTGAAGAGCTTCACACATCTCTGGCCTGTGTGTGTGATGTTTGAGGAACTATATGGGTCAGTCCTTTACCACAGTGATCAAGAATCATATAGCAGCACACGAGATTAAACATCAGGAGCATGTGGTGTTTGCACACTGTTTACTCCAAGGTCCTAAGATATATTTCACCCCAAAATCAAACTATTTTAAATAGAGCCTATTTTAGGACCATTCAAATTTTTTTTTTTCTTTTTTTTTTTTTTTTTCTTTTTTTTTTATACTATTACTGTGCCTTCAGTATATAATCAGCATCATTACTCCAGTCTTCAGTGTCACATGATCCTTCAGAAATCACTCTAATATGATGATTTGATGCTCAAGACACATTTATGATTATTATCAATGTTGAACACAGTTGTGCTGCTTCATATTTTTGTGGAAACCGTGATACATGTTTTTCAGGATTCTAGTTCAAAAGAACAGCATTTATTTGAAATAGAAATATTTTGTAACAAATAGTAGCCGATAGTATAAATATATATAGTGGCCAAAAGTGATGGGTTAGACAATTGTCATCTTCACCCTTTATTCAAAAACCATTAAAAATGTGTTAAAGATTTTGTAAGCATATTGCATAGTTGTGATTGTTTTAATAGTGATTATAACGCAATGAAACATGACAAATTGTGCCGACATAATTTTTGGCCAGGCGGTCATACAAAGAAATTATGAACACGTGCAAAAACGAGAGCTCATTATTTTGTAGTCAATAAATCAGGGGCGTAGGAGCAATTTTTAACCTGGGGGGGACAGTAAATGCTAGGGTGGGGGATGCTTTGCATATAAATTTTGTAAAAAAAAAAAAATTTATGGGCTTATTTATTGACTTATGGGAACAGACTGTATTACTTAGTTAGGTTCTAAGCAGTGATTAAATTGGGATTTATTATGTGGGCTCTCCCTAGGGGGGTCCGGGGGTATGCTCCCCCGGGAATTTTTTGTGAAAAATAAACCATTAAATGGCACTTTCTGGAGAGTTTTGTGCAAAGAAATTGAGAAAATGAGTCTCACATGATATGTGAAAAACTGCAAGGTTAAGAGCATATACTTTGCATTGTTGTAGTATCAACAGGTATTAGGACATTTAGCATTTACATTACTGTTAATCAGTCATGTACTGATTAACTAAAAATTAAAAATTCAAATAAATGGTTGATTTAATTTCCATTAACCACCTAGCTTACCCCCCAAGGATTGAAAAATAAAATCAATCTATCCTTGTGGAAAGGTTCCTTGGTAGCTAAAAGTAGGTCTAGCAAGTCTTATATTTCTGTAATTTACACAGATCAAAAACAAATATGCTGCCTGAATAGATTGCTAGTTTATTTTGAGTAGCCAGCTAGCAGTTCTCTTGGCAGTTTGCTAATAATCCGGTGTCTGAAGTAAAATGCTCAAAACATCTCCTGAGAAAAATCACATGGCCAACCTAGTCTTGGTTATTTCATTTAGATTTAGTCTTATTTTCCTTACCTTGTCATTCAAGGCCAGGGCACTTTATGTACATTTCTGGAACTTTTGCACGCTTCCACATCCCGCGCAACTAGGATCTCCCAGGAACACTCATTATATATCGCTGCGTACATTTATCCGTGTCACCTAGATGCGCATGCGCGAGCGGTGCGCGATCATGGTCGACTGACAACGAGATTAGCAGCTGAAGAATTCGGCCGTTTTTTAAAATTGAATTATGTATTTAAAAGTTGCCGAATGTATTCATTTGGAGACTCCGAAATCGGCAGAGATAGGCAGGCAGTGCAAAACAAAATCTTACATTGGGAAATAGTGGGGGGGACAAAACTTCGATTTTGAAATGTGGGGGGGACATGACAATATGCATTTAAAAAAAAATTGCATAGTAAAATAAAACCTGAAGCTGTTGTTTTCCCTTTTCTGCCAAGTCATTTTGTTAGATAAATACCTTAACCAAGTTTAGTTTGGTTCTTCGCTTATATTTAAAAGATATAAAATATTTTCCTCATATTTTTATGGTTTAATCAAACTTGTAGGGTCATAAAATAGAAAAATCCCCTCCTGACATCACTTTTGGCCATTTATATCACGTTAAAGTAGGATTCTTATTATTTGCAACAGGCTGGAAAAGAAATGCAAACTATTTTAGTTAACCTAAAATAAATTTTGCATAATTTTCCTTTTGATTTTGGGTAAAAAAAAAATCTTTTGAACCCCCTGAATTCCTTTATTTTGAACACTTAGCATTTAGTATTTGCTGTCTGGTCTTCAGTGGAGTCTGTTGTGTTGTGGATCCAGTCCAGAGTTTATGGTGCGCTCAGTGCCAGCAGCTTCTGAGGGGCCGGCCTCTGGTGTCGCACTGAACACAAGAAGAATGCCATTGACGTCAGAGGAGATGTTGTCAGCAAGGACAGTGGACCCCTGCTCTTGAATTCTCCTCAGAGTGATTGAACAGACGTTTGAGAAGAGGGCTAAAGATATGGGGGGTTGGGGTGGGGAGAATGCCACACATGATGTGATCCTTTCCCCCATTTTTCCTTTTTAAACCTTGCATTTTCTCCTTTTTTTGTGCATTTTTTCTTTCTGTGTGTCACCCTGCTGCGTTTCCCCCATAGACCCTTGAATTATGATAGAAAAAGCTGCTTCTGACCCGTGCGTGAGGTTGGGCGAACGCATGTCAGATTCACTCGGTGTGTTTCTCTAAAGGTTGCCCTGTAACAATAGCAGCAAGATCCTGTGACCGCTGAAGTGTGCGGTGTGATTGTGTCACGCGTAAGCACGCTTGTTTTGATGAAAGATGTTCTTGTAACTTCAGCACTGCCCTGTGTAACTCAATACACATGAGTAGAGTTGCACAGTATGGGTTATTGTTGATCACCTGTGCGGTATGAACACATGCACGTCAAGTGACGCAGGTTCAGCTTTTAAATGCACTAGTCACAACTGCAAAGCCCTGACATAATCCAGGATTATGAGAGAAAAAAATGAAATGTGGCCCTGAACGGATCGGCGACTGCATCAGTCCCATAACGAGGATTAATTTTCAGTCGTAATCTGCGTAGATTGACTGTCACGTAATCTTTAAGCATCACAGTGAATCTGTGTATGTCGGGTTGTCTGCGCTGGAATGGAGTACAGCTGAAGTAAACAACCTCCCAGGAGCATTCTGGGACATGAAAGAGTAGTTGCTATCTCAAGCAATCTGTCTATCACGAGTAAAGCGACCTCTCCCAGTCTGATGCTAATCGCTCTCCTGTGGATGATGTGGGTGCTTGCTGCACATTTACTCCGTTTGTTTAGCACTGCTTTTTAATTTTCACTTATAAAAATGGCTTTTTGCTCGTTTTAGACGATAACTGATATAATGACCGATATTGTTAATCCATACTGATTTTCGGATTTCTAAACAAAAATACAGGTTTGAAATCACATGCTTCGTAAGTAAAACGAGGCTTGATCTAAATGTTATAATTTACTGTAGAAAAGCATTTAAAAAAAAATTGTTTCCTACTTTTGAAACACGTAATTAAAAAAAGAGATAAAAGAATATTAGTTTAAAATGTGTTTATACTATCAGCCTTATCAGACTGATATAGATCATTTTTACAACCCAAAAATAATCAGATATCATCACTTATTTATAATTCTTTTTAATTTGACATTTTTCTATTGTTTAGCTCATCTACTGTATTTGGTTAATGATAACGTTCAGGTTAGAGTGATTTCTGAAGGATCATGTGACACTGAACACTGGAGTAATGATGCTGATGAAAATTCAGCTTTGATTACAGAAATAAATTACATTTTAAAGTATATTAAAATAGAAAACCATTATTTTAAATTGTAATAATATTTTACAATATTACAGTTTTTTTCTGTATTTTTGGATCAAATAGAATAGTTTCCAAACTTTCCGGTACTGTATATGCTGCATACGTAAATTGAAATTAAATATATTATACATCAATAGGCATTTTATTTACAATATACTAACACGTGTTGTGGTTCATTTGATCCTGCTTTCAGATGTTGTGAAACTCTAGTCCTGAGCCGTGTCATGTTTAAGACAGAATTGCAGCATGCATTTTTAATACACATTTGTAACAGAGATCCGGGCCTTTTTTGCTGACAGCAGAGAGTCTGCAGGGATGCTCCGGCTCGGCTCCGGCTCCGGCGCTCCGGTCCACATCTTACGTCTCTCTCTGCGTCGTGCTCTCCAGCTCTGTAGGTTTGTGGTTTCACAGGAAGCCGCTCATGTTTGTGTAAAGCAATGCCTCCTATGTCACGTCTGTGTAGCTGAGGTGCTGCGCTCTCACTGTGTCGCTTGTGCAAGCTCTTTTTTTCCTTTTTTTTTTTTTACGACTCGCTCTCCAGGAACGCCCGTTGCTTCATATAAGAGTCTGGATCTCTGACTAGGGGGGCTTTGAAAGCCGGTGGGAGGTGCTGAAGGGGGATCCTTTGCATTTTCTCTCTTTTGTTGTGTGAGACAGAACGTCAGCTAAAAGACATCTGAAGTTCATGGACCTGTGGAGGAGACCAGCGCACGGATGTGAAATTATTACGGCGGGGCGATAGGAATCAGTAGCAGCGGATTAAAGCGGGATTCTCTGTGCTTGTATATGTATGTGTTTTGTTTTCTAGGAGCATGGGGCTCTGGTGCGCTTTACACCAGGAGCCCTTCACAGCTGGACTGACAGCGCTGTGACTCTGCTTTATTGTTTCGACCGGATCAGGAGTTAATAGAGGGCAAGGAGCATCTCGCATTTGATCCGTTATCCCTGATCTTTTCAGCACAGCATGAAGAGTCACCCATGTGGACATCCCAGCATGGCTGTCTACGATGTGGACGATGTTCGGGAAGCCTCGGCTAGCCCGGTCAAACGCCTCAAAACTGATCACCCCCTTCCCTGTCTCCCTCCAGAGGAGGCCTACCAGAAACTGGCCACCGAAACCCTGGAGGAGTTGGACTGGTGCCTGGACCAGCTGGAGACCCTGCAGACCCGACACTCCGTCAGCGAGATGGCCTCCAACAAGGTGAGTCACGCTTAAACTCACCACCTAACACATGGTATTTACACACCTGAGAAGAAGGGCTTCCCTTGAGTTAATGTCATTACTGACGCCCAGGGGAACTCAGGTAATTGCTGTGATTTTGGCAGGGCTGTTGGCTCACAGATGAGAGACGTTATCAGGTAGCGTAGAGCCAAGATGGCTGCCCCTGGGGGGGGGGTGCAATTTCAGGGAGATACACACACAAGTCATGTACGTGCAGGATTGTGAGTCAGGATGTCCATCACGGTATCCTGACCATCATCCAATACAACATCCAAATGCTTGTTTCTCCACTATGTGAGTATAAACGACTGACACTGGCTTCTGTTTATGCATGCGTGGATGTGTGCGTGTTCCCATGCTGGAATCGTCAGTTTAGACCTTTATCCAGACTGAAGCATCATTGTCATTGGGTCTATTGTTGTGGGAGGGAGGTCAGATTGCTGGGGATCATGTTTAGCATTGCTGATGACTGCACAGGCATCTTTTAATGTGGCACAGTACTGCCTTCTCCACCAAAGCTTCCCTGTAATTCCTGATCTTTTAGAGAAATATGGGTTTTGATTTATGTGTTTGGTGCAGGTCTGTGAGGAGGGGTACTGAAGGTCATGAATTATATTTCATATTGGAATTAGGTGATATAGTGTTTGCCGTCATGTAAATGTCGACTGCCTGCTGCTGGACTTTGGTGCATTGAATAGTCTTTCCACAAACTAGATTTTTTTGATTTTCTAAAGAAAATGTGAGGAGTGTTTGCCCGATTTGAAGCTAGGGTGTTGTGGGTTGTTGCTAGGGTGTTGCTATGGGATTGCTAGAATGTTTTGGATGGTTTTTAGGTGGTTGTTGGTGAGTTCTGGGTAGTGGTTACAGTAGTTTGTTACCTGGGAGTTTTAGTTTGTAGCAAGGCAGTTGTTGGAAGTTTTGGGTGGTTGCTAAGGGGTTGCTAGGGGGTTCTGGGTGGTTCTAGGTTGTTGCCTGGGAGTTCTGGGCTGTCTCGTGTGAAATTTGCCCAACTTCAAGATTCAGTGATGGTCTGGTCTCTAGATATCTTGGTCTGTGGGATTTTTCCACCCATTTTTATCATGCACCAGGTGCAGATTCTCATCATTTGAAGTTGCATTCATGTCTGTAGAACAAAGTTTAATACTTAGGGTTAGGGGTTTGCTCAAATGACACGTACAAAGTTTAACCATGATAAGTGATGCTTGTCTAATTATATACATATAAAGAAGTCTTGCTTTGCTTTGTAATTTTGTAATATTTTGTAGTTTAAATTATGACATAATAAGGTGCCGTACTATCATCATTATCCAAACACCTTGTTGGAGACACGTTTGAAACATCCCGGGCAATGTTTACGTGTAAATAGTTTTAAAACTATAATTCGATCCTGCTAACTATTGTGATTTCCCACCAGCAGGGCATCTACGGGCATTATGCAAACTGTGTTTACAGTCTCACCTGATGACACAACCTCACCATAACACCATCAGCTTTTATTGCAGAATAGACAGCAAACACGCTTTCTAGAACTGGTTTTAATAATTACAATTTTATTACATTTTAGGTCAGACTTGAAATTTGCTCCTTGTTTGCTTCCTGGCCCAAGGAATTATTTTACCTGTAAAGTAACAGAACACCTCTGTTGCAGAAGTTGAATACTGTTATGAAAAATTCATAACACTAACACTAATTCATAACAGTAATAGTGGTTCTTACCTTAGCAAGCCCCATTAACTATATATATTAGAGCTGTCAAAATTAACACATTCATTTTTTTTCTTCATTTTAACGCATTAAAAATATTGAACAATCAATGCAACATGCGTTTTTTCTGTCATCTTTAGCTGTGCTACAGTATATGATCAAGCTATCATTCATTCAAGTGCTATTAAATCATTCAAACGTGATAAGACGCAGAAATAAAAACTCAAATCTGTACTGTACGCGTCTGTGAAGCGGCTCTCTGTGAACAAACACTCGAAACACGCTCACAGAAAGCCGCTTCTCTTTCACGCTTGAATTCACAAAAACCCAAGATTGTGTCAAATTCCCATTTTGTCGAGTATCCTCGCAAGCACAGTCTTAAAAATGAAATTATAAATGGGGTTATAAATGAGTTAAAAAGTGTTAAATGAACATAGAGTTGTGAGAAAATGGGAAGCGTGTCAGATCCGCATCATGTGCGTCAGGTATTAAAGTGACAGTAGCCTAATAAACCTGATGATGTTTGTCATTAATATTCATCAAACAACAAAAGACAAAGAGAAAATCTCTCACTGCTCCTGACTGAATAACTTTTGTAGCTTTAGTAAGGATTAATTCAACTTATAATGGATACAGTTAAGACTATGCAGTGTTTGATTAATCAATTTCTGTTTGTCTATTTACCTGTTAGACCTGAACATCTGACAGCACTGTTTACAAGGTTACATAGGTCAAAAACAACCAACCTGACAGGACCCGTAGCGTTGAGTCCTGATATATTAAAGGCACAGCTGAATGTGACATTTATTATAATGGGTTTATGTGAAGATTGTTTTAAGATCGCTTAAATTAAAAGTAGTTTTTAATGCTTATTAAATGAAATCTTTCAATTATACTGTTATTAATGGCTAAAATTGAGAAAAAATCTATTTAATAGAGACATCATTATTGGTATCAATGATCCTGGCCTTCGTTCATAAAAAGATGCCATTAAACAAATATTAAAAATATACCGTCTTTATGCAAGATATATATATATAGGTTATATATTACATATTTACATATATATATATATATATTGTTAATGGTGTTTATATTATGTGTGTGTGATATACAGTATATATATATATATATATATATAAATGATTTAACACCAATCAAACAAAGCATTAGACATCATTAGATGTATGTAACGCATGTTTGTGTCACAAAGCTCACTGCCGATACAGAATGAGACGCTGCGTGTCTAAACTAGCCGGGCATGACATCATAGCGTCTTTACAGCATACAGTATGTGTGTGTTTAACGTTCATACACAGGCTACGATACGCATGCTACATACATCAATGTCCTCATATTCATGTGCTTTAACATTTCAGGCCAAAATAAGTGTGTTCAGAGCTACTAAGACGCTGTGATGTTTGCTAGTGGACCTCATTAACCTTTCGGCTGGGTGTCTTTGTGCCGAATGTGGTGCGTGTGTGTATCGTCTGCGCTGCCTCTACACACACACTGCAGGGCTCAATTTGTCTGCGTCGCCATGGCGACTGCAAGCATGTGGGATCCTGCACAAGCCTGTTTGTCTGCGCTGTGACGGGGAGAGCATGTTGTTGCTGTGTGTGTACTGTAGGTATTCTGTTCATCAGTATGCAGCGTGGCAGGCCTATGCCGGTGATTCCTGAGCATGCTCAGTTCATTCAAAAACAAACCATAAGACTGAGGGGCCGTAAAGGAGAGCTGGGTTGTGTAATGAAAAATGCCTCATCATAATTCGATGCGAAGAGATGCAAATAAAGCCATTGCTCAGAAAGGAACTGGGCGCTATATCAGCGCGGCGAATGCAAATTCAAGTGTGTTATCTGATCTCTGGTTCCTTAGAAGTACCTTATTGCATAACATATATTGTGTCTTTAAACATCCAATGATTCTAGTATGTATCAAATGAAAGTACTGGCAGTGTTTATTTACAGATATTAGGAATCAGAAAACCTCTATGGACTATGAAAACAATCCAACATCAACTAACTAATCCCATAATCCCATAACTGTGGCTCAAGTTTAGAGGATTTTATAGATTTGAACAAACCCCTAATATAAGACATATATGTTGAGCACGTCAACACAATGGCCAATCAGAGGCGTTTAAGAATCTGTTCAACAGCGCTCAAAATGCGAGAGGGCAATGCTGGTATCGTCACATTTAAAAATTTATTTCCATTGTGGTCCCGGGGGGGGGAGGGTTATATTAGTTATATATACTAATATAACTATATTAGTATAACTAATATAGTTATACTAACTATATTAGTATAACTACTAATATAGTTATATATTAACAATAACCATCAAGACAAAACCATAAAATATTATCATACTAAGTTTGACATCTGAGCCATTTTTTCAGTGCCAGTTTAAAACCTACTAAACTTCTAGTCAGCTTTAGATTTCCTGGCAACCTGTTCCACAAGCTTGTTGCTACATCCAAAAATGACTCTTTACCTAAATTACTCTTAACTATAGGAGGTACAAAATCCGTAGAGCTGCCCCTGGTGGAGTAGCAGTGGACATCTCTCACTCTATTAAAATAATGAATCAAATATTTGGGGACATTTCCTTGCACAGTCCTATGTACCATGCACAGGTGAATCTGTGAGACTCGGTCTTCTACATTTAACCACCCTATAGTCTCAAAATGAGAAATATCAAGAAGAGATCTCACGGGGAGGTTCATAATAAGCCTTTTAACCCTATTTTGAGCAGTCTGAAGCCTATGTTTCAGGTGCTTTAAAACTCCATTGTACCAAGAGCAACACGCGTAATCAAAATAAGGCTGAATTAGAGCACTTACCAGAGTTAACATTGCTTTTTTGTCCAAAAACTTTGAGATTCTGGACAAGAAACGTTGTTGATTTTAGGCCCTGTATATAACACTCGCCAAGTGCCAAATGCGAGTAAAAATCGGTGTTGCCGATATATTTATCTTTCAACTAAGTTAAAGACTTCCCATTACAGCAAATCTGGAGTTACCAACTTCCCTTCCAGTTGAGTTGGAGAGTCCACTCTTCAAACACCAGTGCCAGGGGTGCAGAGACCCGCAAGAAGGCAGAGGAGAAATATGAGACGTATGGGTTAAAGAGGGGGGTTTGGCGTATGGGATGAGGGGGTATCTGTGGCCAGTGGGTTTCTTGAATGATTTGGATCCTGCACGCGCGCTGTGGTAAAGCCTCTGCCGTCCCATTGGTCCTCTCTGAAGCGGCGGCCGCAAAGCACGAAACATTGAACGATACTCAAAGAGTTCGCCGGTGGCTTTAATCAAGCTCAGATCCAGCCAGAACTCACTTCACAGAAAACCACACAGAGGTCTGTTTCCTCACTAAAGAGGGAATATAATTTACATCTCGCATCGCATCGCGGCTTTATATGAGCAATACAGACATACAATAGGTTGTTGTGACCTAAAATTCAACATGCAACCAATACAAGTTCATCAGATTTGGGATTTGTGCACTTTATTTATTTATTTGTTTGTTTATTTGTCAGGGACCATGCACAGTTCAGGCCCTGTACCAGAGTTAGCTATGCAGCTAATTTACATCTGTGGTCCCTGGGCAAGGAAAATAAAGACAATATAGACAAACATTACTCACAGAAAAACAAAAGTATAGATATACAATACATGTTATAAAAAAGGTCAATGATCACATAGTTGATTCTCCTTCGGCCAAGTCTTTAAGGACATTTTAAAACTGCTGATCTTTAAAACTTGAGATGTTACTTCATCTAGTTCCAGGATTCAATTAGCATCCGTCAAATCTGTTTGGAATTATGTGTTATTATGAGTGTGCATGTTCCCAATAAAACTTAACGTGGCGATAATTAGATCTCCAGAAATAGCATTGCCTTTCGGATGATGAGCGTAAGGAGCTCCCGGCAGATTTTGGGGTGTGGTCCGAGGTTTTTCCTTCAGCGTGACACCGGCCTCGACCTGCAGCCAGACTCGACCACACTCCCTCCAGTCTATAATTAATCATAATCATAATCATAATCTGCTGTACTGTATGGCAGTGTTTCTTACAGGATCCTGTTTCACCTGCGTTTTTTTTTTTTTTTTGGTTCAATCATATCACTCACTCTAGTGGCGGGCGACATGGCCAAAATATACCATTAAAAAAATATATATTTTTGCTGGAAATCCAACCCCTAAAATATTTGCTATATGTTAAAGACTTAAAACAAACTGCCTGCTCAGATAACTTAAGAGTTTGATTCAAACTGATTTATGAACCTATTTGACAGATTCTAGGTGTGACACGCATCACACACATGACCAGCGTCGGCCAATAGTGAGCCTGCGTGTGACGTACAACCCAGAAGCGCTGCGCTGTTACACTACGTGAAATCTCGAGGCCCACAGAGAAGGAAATGATTAGTTGAATAAAGTCGTTATTTTTGTAGTTTTTTTGCGCACAGAAAGTATTCTCGTCGCTTGATAAACTTAAGGTTGAGCCACTGTTGTCACTCGGACTATTTTAACGATGTCTTTAATAACTTTTCTGGGCCGGCCAGTTTCAATCCCTTAAGAAGCCTATGGAGGAGTGAGACAGCTCTCAGATTTAATCAAAAATATCTTAATTTGTGTTCTGAAGATGAACGAAAGTCTTACAGGGTTGAACAACATGAGGGAGAGTAATTACTGACAGAGTTTACATTTTGGGGTGAACTATCCCTTTAACTTGTGCACAAAATTGGAATATCGCATAAAACATTTGTGAATAAAGCAGCAATTCCACCCCATGTGTTCAAGAGAGCAAATTTGGTGCAAAATATCTGTAATAAAAATGGAAGTTGCTGCAATCCAGGAAAGCCACTGTGACACTTTTTCCTCCATCATAAATGACGACGTTCATGTTCTCTTGCGTTCGGATGCTGGCGTTTGTGAACGCAATCATGTGAGACGCTTCTGGGAGGGAATCAAACCAAATCATTTTGATGACAGAATGATCAAGCCAAGATTTGAGATGCTGTGCAATGCGATTGGTCCATCCGGTTATCCAATCACATCCTCTGTTGAGGCAAAGTCAAGAGTTTTTATGCTGCGAATCGAGGGATTTATTTGGTAAATGTGTTTCCATTGTACTTTATGGATCAAAAAAATACATCCATCTCAATTGAGCGCATGTGTTTGTATGCACATTTTTAGAAACTTAGCGTTTCCATCCATCGTTGTTTTATGCAATATCCCAAAATGTGCATTAAAAAAAACCCATTGATTGTTTGCAACCAGTGAAAATCTAACGACTGCAAGCTTGCAACTCTCTAAAATGTCTCTAAATGTAATTTAAGTATTATTAAAGGGATTTCTTGGTTATACAACAATGATAAATTGACATACACAGGGATTATCTCAAGCTTTATTTCCTTGTTTATGCTGAACCATATAATGTCTTGCTTTGCATAAAGAAAAGCTTTGACGTAATACGCCACCGCAGAGGACTCATATTTCTCCTGATAATATAGCATCAATGCCAAATGGTAAAGGCTTCAGGTTCATTATTCAAATCAGCCACAAAACAAATCCGACCAATATTGCTTTCATAAAAGCTGATCTGATCTGTCCATTTGGTTTTCAAATGAGAGCCTCAGCCCTGGCCACATGAAAGCCTCGTGTCCTGCTTGGACGGGTCGATATCTCCATATGAATGCTTTGTTTTACTTTCAGATCTGCAGTTAGCAAGTGTCATCAAACACACACTTCTGATTAGCCTTTGCATTTGAGTGGAAGTGGACGTTACCTAGAGCCTGTTTATCAGCAGGTCAATATTTACACTAATACAAGTTTGTTTTACAGTCTGAGAAGTTGAACTACTTCCTCACTAAAGGCTGTGCTTTGGTGTAATGCCAGTTTTATGATGATTTCAATGGACAATGTTGATGATTGCATCTAAAAAAATATATATAGCCTTATCAAATACATAAATGGAGAGTTATTGTAACTAAAATCATTGTATTATTTGAGATGAAAACATTCGTTTTTTCTGGAAATTGATCCTAAAAATGTTATATATAAGTCCAGTGTATTTAATATTTTTTATTTTATTTTTTATTGAACATTTTATATTTAAATAATTTGTATTATTCATATTATAATTGAATATATATATTTTTTTCATTTGAATTCATGAATTTCTTCATTTAAAATTTGTTGATAAGATATTAATTAAATATATGAAATAAAAAATATTAAAATAGTTTATTTTTTAATGCTATCATTGAAACGCTTCCATACAATTTTATTATTTATATTTTGTAAGTCCAGTGTATTTAACACTTTTTAAAATTCTATTTATTTATTGTCAGATACATATTTTATTTAAATTATTTTGTATTATTCATATTATAATTGATATTCATAATCATTTATTATTCATAATATAACATTATTCATATTATAATTATTGTAATAAGTATTAATAAAATACATTAAATAAAAAATTATTTAAATATGCATATTCTATTTTTTAATGTTACGATTGAAACGCTGCCACACAATTTTATTATGTCTATTTTTTAAAGTCCAGTTTAAAACTTAATACCAGTTAAATGTATTAATTTATTTGATTGTAATTATAAATAATACTTAAGTATAAATTATAAAAAAAAATTGATATTTGAAAGTATTAATTAAATATATTAAATAGAAAATATTAAAATGTAAATAATAAGATGTTTAAAGCTATCATTGAAACACTGCCATACAATTTTTAAACCAAAATTAATACACCACTAAATTTTATGCAAATCTCAAATTGCATAAAAAAGCAATTGATTCTTATCTCTCGACGTTGCTGAAGCTCCCACTTCTGATTGGTTACTTACCGTAGTGTTTTACAAGGACCCAAATGATATCTGTCTAGTATCTATTAATACTTGTTATTAGAGATAGCGTGAGCAGATACACTACTCCTCTGATGGGTCGACTGAACACGATTCTCCCAGGTACAAGGTGAGCTGTGAAACTAGTGTCCATCGCTCCGTCTCAGTAACGAGCTGTGATTGGCTGAGCGGAAGGGGCTCGAGCGCTCCCAGATTTAGAAGGTGTCGAGCAGCACAGTGTCTTTCTCACGCCGAGTCTGCCAGCCTGCACTCCTCCATCACACCTCCACCTGATCCATGATGCAGATCTTAGCCTGAGACCAGAAGCATCCGCGTCACATTGCCTGAAGGATTTAGGAGTGCTGCATTTCTAGCTTTTGTGTGGTTTTGGAGCTTTAGCGAAGATGCCTGAAGTGAATTACTTGCGCTCGGTCTCATGGGGATATATAAAGGTATGCTGTTTCTAAAGATGCTTTTATAGGCTTGGATGTGCAACATAAAGTAGCAAAACAATCCATTTTGGCCTCTCTGCATTCTTTAGTTGTGGGTTTTGTGTCGTCATGAACTGATGTATTCAAATAATGTGCGGTACGCCATATGGAAATTAGCAGAGATTAATATTTTATGCAATGATCCAAACAGGACAGTGTGAGAAAAAACGAGTTTTTGTTTTTTTCTGTGACGTTTTGAAGGTCTTTTCTAAACTGCCATACACAGATATATTCAGTGATAATGGTGTGTTGTTGAAAATCAGTGCATCTGTAATGTGACTTTTTTCAGGCATGGCAAATTTGTGTGACACTTAAAGGTTCGTTCTCCGTTAGGATGAGTCTGAGAGAAAAAAATGAGCAAAAATTGTTTGTGCATTGCAATATTATTTTCAAATTATCACAAACATCCTTGTGAAGAACATAACTATTCCTTATTTATCATGAAATTATTTTCATGATAAATAAGCATTTTTAAACCCAACCTTTTTTTAGGTTAGTTTTTTCTTGATGTTTTTATTATGTTGTATTCCAGTGTGTATTTTTATTGTGTAAAGAGCCTTGAGAAGCTGCTTTAAATGCGCTTTATAAAATAAAGTTTATTATGATTATTATGATTTATTCATGTTGGGATTACAGGCTCACACGTCTTCTGAATGTGATTTCTAGATGTTGTTTTTTTTAGGTTTTTGGGTCGCCTGTTTTCAAACTGATTAGAATAGAAGGTTACATCTGATTGGTTTATTCATTGTCTATGTGTCACCTAATCATAAAGCATTACTGTGACTGATTAAAACTGTCTTTTGTCTTGTCTAGTTCAAGCGGATGTTGAACAGGGAGTTGACGCACCTGTCTGAGATGAGCAGATCTGGTAACCAGGTCTCAGAGTACATCTCCAACACATTTTTAGGTAAACCGTCAATCACAATAAACATCAATTGTCAGTGTTACGGTGAGTTTTGGGGACGTTCACGCTCTCTCTTCTCCTCCAGACAAACAGCACGATGTGGAGATGCCCTCCCCGCAGATGCAGAAGGAGAAGGAGTTGAACAAAAAGACCATGTGTCAGATCAGTGGAGTGAAAAAGCTCATGCACAGCACCAGCCTCACCAACTCCAACATCCCTCGCTTCGGGGTCAAGACGGATACGGAGGAGTCCTTAGCCAAGGTGAGCGAGTGTTGTGTTGGAGAGCACTTCAAACATCAATCATCTCAATTGAATCCTGATTGGATCTGATCAGAGACTCTCGTAGTCCTTGATGAAAGGTCACTGGGTTTTTTTCTGTCCGATGACGTGGATGTAATGACGTGGAACTGGACAGATTTTGTGCCCTGCTGAAAAGACCAGCTTGGACCAGCATGAGTTTCCATGTAGTTAGTGTCATGCTGTTCACCAGGAAGCTTATCGACCGGCATTTGGACCAAGAATATCTCACTGGTTATGCTAGTATTTATCAACACACAATGATGCAACATATGCTGCTCTTTTCAGATTATTTTCCTCAAATTAACTGGTTTTCGTAAAAACAACTCCCGGATCATTCCAGAACATCGTGTGGCTGTTATGTACGGAAGCGTATTGCATTCACTTGAAGAAAAAGAATCTACTCTGTTTTTCTGAATTAACCAGTTAATTATCTCAGAATTATGAGATAATTTTTCATGGAAAAAAGTTTTTGCTCTGTTTTTCTGAATTAACGAGTTAATTATCTTAGAATTACGAGATAATTTTTCATGGAAAAAAAGTTTTTGCTCTGTTTTTCTGAATTAACGAGTTAATTATCTTAGAATTACGAGATAATTTTTCATGGAAAAAAAGTTTTGCTCTGTTTTTCTGAATTAACGAGTTAATTATCTCAGAATTCCGAGATACATTTTTCTTGAAAAACATTTTTTTCACTCTGTTTTTATAAATGAATGAGTTACTCATAATTTTGAGATAATTAAGTCATTAATTCAGAAAAACAGAGCAAAACTTTTTTTTCATGAAAAATTATCTCGTAATTCTGAGATAATTAACTCGTTAATTCAGAAAAACAGTAGATTTTTTTTTCCTCAAGTGAATGCAATACGCTTCCGTAGTTATGAAAGCCAAACCAACATTTATTTTTTTAATGGATTTTGCATATGGATCAAGTCACTTTTATTTATATAGCACTTTATACAATACAGATTGCTTCACATTACTAAACAGGAAAATGTATCAATTAAGAAACTCCTTCAATTTCAGCTGTAAAGCAGCTCTTAAAACACAATAGTGTCATTTCCAGCTTAATTTAGTAGTGTTGATTCAACTCAGTTCAATAACTGTTGCAATGTTTATTAATTATTAAGCAAACCACGGTATAAAGCAGCTCTACTGAAGACAATATTCAGCTCAAGTCCGTTCAGTGTTGATGTTGCGGTTCATCAATTATGAAGCGTTTAGTTTGGTGGCACACACACAACAGGACTATCTAATGATATGCTGCTTTGTTTCAGGAACTGGAGGACGTAAACAAATGGGGCCTTAATGTTTTTAAAGTCACAGAGTTTTCAGGCAACAGGCCTTTAACGGTGATGATGTACACTATATTTCAGGTGAGACCAATCGCAAACATTCACCAATGATCTTAACTGATAAATGTCTAACACTGTGTCCTAACCAGACGTGTTGTGACAGCGTGACATGCCGTTAAAGGCGTCTTTTACATCTTAATCAGAGTTTTTGTCTAATACCGATAAGCGTTTCTATTTCTGTGACGTCGCGGCTGGAGCAACAGCATACAATATGACAATGATAATCTCAGGTACTCATTATGTGCTTTATTTCATCTTAAAATAATTGAATGTGAGTTTGAATATCATTTTGCGTCTCCTTTATAGCCAAACTGAAAACGACAATGTATAATTCTCAGATCATGAAAATAAATGGAGACTGTGAACAAGTGTGCTCTATGTCAAAGAATGTTTCAGTCACTCAGTATGTATATTTTAATAATGTTAAAATTGTGTCATATGAATTTGATTATATACAGATCACTCCATCCACACTCTCTTCTGATTGGCTGTGATTTTTGATTGATTTGGTTGTGCTGCAGAGAGACTCCGCCCACACTCTCTCTGATTGGCTGTGATTTTTGAATGATTTGGTTGTGTGTGCAGTGCGCTTGCAGAGACTCCGCCCACACTCTCTTCTGATTGGCTGTGATGTTTGATTGATTTGGTTGTGTGTGCAGTGCGCTTGCAGAGAGACTCCGCCCACACTCTCTTCTGATTGGCTGTGATGTTTGATTGATTTGGTTGTGTCTTATAGTTGTGTCGTGTCTAGTGTAGACAGACAAATTGCTTGTCGCGGGAATCTTATTGCATCTGGTTAGGACTCGGTGTTACTGTGCACAATTCATCAGTGCATGTCATCGAAAAACTTTGTTTTCATAAGTTTAAAAGACCAATAAAAAATAGCATTAAAGAAAAATATAATTGCTTACTTTACATGATCCAATCAAATTCTTATAAATCAAATCGAGTCCCGCCCTGCATTATGTAACATGCTGTGAGTCACAAGGTGGGATTTAAAAGCATGTTTTTAATGGGTGTTTGTATTCCCTTATCTCTCTGTTTTCTTTCCCACAGGAGAGGGACTTGCTCAAAACATTTAAAATTCCCTTGGACACTTTCATAACGTACCTGATGACCTTAGAAGACCATTACCATGCTGATGTTGCGTATCACAATAACATTCATGCTGCTGACGTCACCCAGTCGACACACGTGCTGCTCTCCACGCCGGCTTTAGAGGTGAGCCCCGGCAAACAACGCAGCGCACACTTTCCACCCGCAACATTTATGGAAACAAAAAAAACCCGGCTCATTTAGAAATGGCCATTGTATTGACGTCACAACTGTGAATATTTACGGCCCACATCAACACATATTCAGTATTCAACAAATGAGCATAGTTGGTCATTTCACATGCGCAGAGGTCCATGTTATTTACATGTAGAGGGTGAAAATGGACATGGAACTACTGAAATATGAATGTTTTTAGTGCAACAAACCCTGACTGACATTATAATTGGATTAACGAAGGTAATGTCTGCTCTCGCTGACCACACTTCCACATGTTGTTCTCTTTCAGGCGGTTTTCACAGACCTTGAAATTCTCGCTGCCATTTTCGCCAGTGCAATTCACGACGTAGACCACCCGGGCGTCTCCAACCAGTTCCTCATTAACACCAGTAAGTGTGCTTTAATACAAACTACAACCAAACAACTGAGCACATGATGCATATCATTCACATTAACAAAACATTGCTGATGTATTTGATTACCGGTTGCTGGATTAGGCCATAAATACTATTAATAATAATAATAATAATAATAAAGCTTTTCTGCATGCTTTTGGTAAATATTGTTCAAGGTTAAATTATCAAATTATTTACATGTCTAAATATAATAATATCATTATTTATTTAAATGTGTAAAAATAATAATCTAATTTTTAAAATGTCTAAATATAATAATCTAATTATTTAATGTCTAAATATAATGATAAATTTGTTAAAATATCTAAATATAATTATATATATTTTTTAAATATCTAAATATAATAATCTAATTACTTAATGTCTAAATATATTTGTTAAATATCTAAATATAATCTAATTATTTAAATGTCTAAATATAATAATCTTAATTATTTAATATAAATATAGTATTATCATTATTTAAAAGTCTCAATATATCAATCGAATTATTTAAATGTATAAATATAATAACCTAATTATTTAAAAGTCTGAATACAGTCTCATTATTTAAATATCTAAATATAATAATTTAATTATTCAAATTTCAGTTTGGTCTAAAAAATAACAAAAAAAGTGTAATGTATTCATCTTTATTTACGACTATTCATAATTGAGCAATAAGGTAGGAATATATTTTTAGAAAATAGTAAACAAAACATTTTTTTAAAGAAAATTCATCAAGTTATCGTTCCTCTAAAAGATGTAATATTGACTTAATAGTTCCTTTGACTGGAAGGCATTATTCGACCAATCAGCATCCAGAAAGGGCACTGTGCATTTTATAAATTACAATATATGTATTTAAAAGCCTTTGTGTGGTAATGGATGGTCTATATATTCAGTGAAGCGGTTCAGAGCGGATCACTCTAGTGGTGTATTGATGAACTAAATCCCATCAGCTCTGAGACAGACCGACAGACCAGCGCACATCTGTCCTCAAAACCCCTTACATAAGTTTATTTTGACATCAGCAGCGCTGATATGACACATGTAAACACGTGATAAACACGTCACACGCTGTAATCTCTGGCAGACAGTGATGGAGTCCTGCTGCTGATGCAGAGATTAGCACAAGGTCAGGTCGTGAATTCGCCCTGTTATGTTGATGTTGTGTGTGTGTGTCCGCAGACTCGGAGTTGGCCCTCATGTACAACGACTCATCGGTGCTGGAAAACCATCATCTGGCAGTGGGCTTCAAACTCCTGCAGGAGGAGAACTGTGACATCTTCCAGAACCTGAACAAAAAACAGAGACAATCGTTGCGCAAGATGGTCATAGATATTGTACGTTTGCTGCACCTCCTTCACAATGACATCTAGTGTGTATTTGGTGAAGTCTGGCTCAAGGTTTTCTCATACGTTTCTCCAAGGTCTTAGCGACTGATATGTCCAAACACATGAACCTGCTGGCCGATCTGAAGACGATGGTGGAGACGAAGAAGGTCACCAGTTCTGGCGTGTTGCTCTTGGATAACTATTCCGACAGGATACAAGTGAGGAATCACCACAACTTCTGTCTCGGCCAATGGCGTCAATTGGGGGGCGGGACTGTCTTTTTGTTGACCAATGGTGTTTAAGAAACCCATTTGATCATTATCATTTATTTGTTTAATGGCAATACATTGGAAATTAGAACTTGTAGAACGACAGAATTACTTTTTTTTTTTATGACAATTATGATTTTTCGCAAATGTAAAATAAAGTTCTTTCAGCTCCATTTGACATTATTTCAATTATAATTTTTTTAATTCATAGAACTTCTATAACGGGATGGGATATAAATAAGTTTAACATTTATTATTTTAATATTTAACAGATTTTTTTATTATATGCATGCATGGAAGCTTATAAAACCATTTAAAAGATAACTGCAACTTTTTCTCTCACAAATCTGACGTTTTTTCTCAGGATTGTAAGGTATAAACTCGAACGTTATAAAGGGGGAAAAAGACGGACTCTTTTCTCAGAATTGAAAAAATGTTTATATTAAGTTTATTTGTTTTTTTATATTGAGTTTATATCACAATTCTGACTTTATAACTCGCAATTCTGAGGAAAAAAAGTTTATTTTGTATTCTGTGGTGGAAACAAGCTTCTATAATTATGATACTAGTTTGTTGTAAATATAGAATGTAATTTGTTTTAGCTGCATTTGACACATTTTACGAAATATAAAGTGTAAATTAAGCAGAAATTGCACATTTATAAAACTTCGATAACTATCTAATGGGATATTAAATAAGTTAGACATTAATATTTAACTTATTTTTTATTATGATACTGTTTGTTGTGAATATAGAATGTAGTTTTCACCAGAGGTGGGTAGAGTATCCAAAAACTGTACTCAAGTAAAAGTACAAGTAATAATCTTAAAAGTTGCTTGAGTAAGAGTAAAAAAGTATCCAATGAAAAAACTACTACTTTGGATCACATAGGCCTATATATATATATATATATATATAACATGACATTATTTAGATATTTTTTTATTTTAATGACTAAAATTATCATAATTAGATAAGCTATCTTTGCAACAAAAACAAGAAGAGACAAACATTATTTCTGTATATCTGTATATTATATCTATAGCCCAAAAACCATTGCCTGTCCTTTGGTTTGTATAATAGTATAATAACTTATACAACTACATTTGGATTATTAGACAATGTCGGAATAAAGTGACTCTATGGAGTTTTGCATTCAAGGGATGGGAACCATTGACACAGATTAGAAAGTGTTAAACTCTTCACATGTGCTCGCAGTCATGTCATGCCCAACACAACCAACGATCAAATGCACAGATCTTCTTCTGTCTGTTCTCCAAAATGTTTTTAAATGTAGGCTATATTTATGAAAGCATCTTTAAACTGGTTAACTGTGTCTAATAAGGCAGGCAAAGGCATTCGTTTTCAAGTCGAGTTCGCACGCCACTGCGCAATACACACATTGTGTGTGTACACACATTCATAAACTGGGCGATAGCTTATTTAATGTATAAATTAATGTATATGTCCAAAAAAAGGGTAATGTCATACTTTGTAGTAGTGCTATATGGCGTAATAATCTGTTTGGTTGTAAAATGTATTACCTGAATGAAATGAAATCGAATGTATCGTCGTGTGGAATAATTCATTCACAGACAGCTTACGAAGTAACATACGAAGATGTTCAACTAATAAAGATCTTCATCGCTGGCAAAAAATATGATGCATTTGCAGATTTACTTTCTAGACTGTACTGTAGACTGTGGACCGCCACTTCATAAACGCTCTTGATGTTCTTAAATCTTCCTGTTACGACTCCGAGACGATTCAGTGCGTGCAGGAAACTGAACAGATCATTCAAACTGATTCGCGAACCGATTTACACAGATCTGCCCAACTTGTTTGATGAAGTCTTTGAACAGAATCGACTCAAAAGAGTGATTCATTTGTGAATTGAGCATCGCTCATGCCCAGAAAAAAAGAGAGAGCGCGCGCTTAGAATAAACTACGCTTTTAACAACATATTGCATTAAAATAAAGTAACGAGAGGAACGTCGCCAAACGTAACGAAGTAAAAGTACTTTTTTTCATTAGAAATGTACTCGAGTAAAGTAAAAGTACCCACAATTAAATCTACTCTTAAAAGTACAAATTTTCCAAAAAAATACTCAAGTAAATGTAACGAAGTAAATGTACTTCGTTACTACCCACCTCTGGTTTTCACAGTTGCATCTGAAACAATTTACAATATTTAAATATTCAATAGTTAAATAGAATTTACTGGGAAAAATTGTTGCTTAATTTGCCAAGTTATCAGACATGTAATGATACTGATGTGTTGTGAATATGGCTGATGGCTTGTTACTGAAGTGTGTGTTTGTGTTGGTCAGGTGCTCCAGAACATGGTGCACTGTGCGGATCTCAGTAACCCCACCAAACCCCTGCAGCTGTACAAGCAGTGGACGGACCGCATCATGGACGAGTTCTTCAGTCAGGGCGACCGCGAGCGAGAGCGAGGGATGGAGATCAGCCCCATGTGTGACAAACACAACGCCTCGGTGGAGAAGTCTCAGGTACCAGTGATCTTCACTGTGGGCCATTAGCTTTGAATACACTTTGTGTAAAATTGCTAAACTAATATGACATCTATTGGGCAGTCCCTCCAGAAAAACGCGATTATGCGATCACATGATTCAGTGCATAATCAGCCAAAGTAATTTTTTCAGATACGCCGCATAAATTGGCGATTTCCGTGCAAAATATGCATGACTTCATAATCCTCGCATTTTCGTTGCAAAAAAGTCACATATATCTTAGCAGAAAGTTGAAAAATGTTGCGTTTGCTTCACACGAGAGGCGCCGTTTCCCCCTGTTGCCATGGGAACGTTATGAAGTGACGTAATTACGCGACGTGAACATCATCGTAAAGCTGTAAAACAGGAGCACACTTTATTTTTCATTTATTCATTTTTACAGAAGTTGTAGCATATTCCTTTTGTAAAGGTACAGAACTCGTTTGACTCATCAATGTTTTGTAAGTTTGATGTGTTTATTAAGGTCTGAAATAAAACAAGATGAGAACTGAAATATTCCAGCACTTTCTGTGATGTAGTTATGCTTGCTTATCATAGGAAGTCATAAGAAACGTCTCTTTACATTATTTAAATGACAGCCTAGTGAGAACAGGGTGTTGGTGGAATCACTTTTTCTTCTCTTTTTCATCAAACCGCAGTTTTTGCAAGTTCCCGTAATTTCATCGCATAAAATTGCATAAATATCCCGCATATTCCATCGCATTTTTAAAGAAAACGGGCCGCATAATCAAGGATTTTTGCCTGCAACAATCACAAAAAAACTCTGATTAGGGATTAGGGCTGAGCCGTCTCGAAAACTTATGAATGCATTTTTAAGCATTGTGATTTTAACCTGTTATATGCAGTGAAAGACAACTGTGTGCGCGCACATAAAGCAGCTGCTCATAGAGCACGTCAGTACTGAACTGGACTGTTCTTACTGGGCTTAAACTGGCAAATACACACACTTATACTGTGTGTCGACATGCCCGTCTTTGCGAGTATCCTCAAAAACACAGTCGTTTATGTCTTAGGTGAAGGTAAATGGTTGAGAAAGAAAGCACATGTGTATCAGAATATTAGATCAGTGCTTTCGCTCTTAAAGTGACAGTAGCCTAACAATCCTGCTTTGTTCTATTGTAGTTTTTGTTCTATCGCTTGTAATTATTTTCTTTGTTCTGACTTCATCACTGACAGCTTGTCAGGGTTTTTTTTGTTTGTTTTTTACTTATGTTAGTTCGGCTAGTATTAGTTTTTTATGTGATTTTGACATTTTAAACTATATTTTAAGCAAAAATAAAAAAGATAATACAAAAAATATATCGTGATTTATAACGTTATCGTGAAATAAAATTAATATTGGAATATAACATTTTGGTCATATCACCCACTCCTAAAATCTATAGACATTAATCTAAAGCATCAAATAAATTAATAATAAATTAATTAAAAAACAATTGTTTATTGTACTTCATTCTAATTTGTGAGTTTAGGATTATGTACTGTATATATTATTCTATGACTGATGAATATTTTTCATTATTTTTATTTTAGTTTAAGTTTTAGTATTTTTTTTACTACATTTTTTTTTTTAAATCTCTTAAGTTGAAGTACTAAAACTGAAATAAAGTAAATTAACGCTAATTTCAGGTAGTTGCCAAGGCAGCATTTCTAATTTTTGTTTAATAAGTATTTTATACAATTTATTTATTTTTTATTTACTTTTTTAACTTTATTTCAATTAGCGAAAAGGAAAATCATTTCAGTTTTAATCAACAATGAGAAATAATTAAATGAACCTGTAAAGGGCACGTTTGACACACTTTTTTTTTCTCCCAATCACACATTTCATTCATCAGTATCAATTAAGTGTCATTCTGATGCTTAAACAATTCATCTTTTTGAAAGTGGACATTCTTGTGCATAATTATGGAAACTTCAAATATATGTTATATATGTATGTTGTATAAAATAAATAGTTTATTTCAATACATTTGCTTTACTGTAAACTTCTTTTATACGTGAAGTGCAATAATCTACAGAGTGACTAAGTGACCGAGCTTAGTCTGTCTTCAAAGCCTTCATGAATTTGAACCCTTTAACTTCAGATCTATGCTGTGACGGTTAGCAGCTTAAACTGAAAACACATTACTAAGGCTACGTCCTAAAAACGTAAAAACTGTTTTTTTTTTTCAAACATTTTCTCATCCACACTGAAACGTCATAAAACGCTAAATTCACCTTTATTACGCATGCGTTAACCCTCACAAAAGCTCACTGAGATGATACAGAACCAAGCAAAAATAATAAAGTTATCGCGCAATTCTTCTGGCAGGATGTGTCCAGGTCGCTCTCACTCACGAACATATGTTTGGTCTTCTCATGTATTTCCGCAGAACAGCGAATGCGAGTGAATTTTCTGTCATCTTTACAGGACTGTGATATGAAGAGTGATATTAAAGTAACTGTGTGAAAGTGAATCGCACTTAACAGGCACAATATTGGTATAAACATGAATATCTATGTGTTCAACATGCGTCACATGACTAAACTTACATCATCGTTTATAAATACCTCCGTTTCCTCAGTCCACACTACAACACGAAAACAGAGTTTTCAAATTGATCCACTTTGGAAAGAAACACAAATCTCAGTGTGGATGAAAGGCCAAAACGGAGAGAGAAAAAGATGCGTTTTCAAACGAAACCGTATTAGTGTGGACAAGGCCTACATTTAGCAGCTATTACTATAGAAATGACAGTTAAATTGACCGTTGATTTGTTGCACCTGTCTCCAGGTGGGCTTCATCGACTACATCGTGCACCCGCTGTGGGAGACGTGGGCCGACCTCGTGCACCCCGACGCTCAGGACATCCTGGACACGCTAGAGGACAACAGAGAGTGGTACCAGAGCACCATTCCCCAAAGCCCATCGCCCGCTCCCGACCAGCCCGAGGACAGCAGCCGGTCCGGCACAGACAAGTTCCAGTTCGAGCTGACGCTGGAGGAGGACGGAGAGTCCGACACGGAGAAGGACAGCGGGAGCCAGGCCGAGGAAGAGGAGGAGGAGGAGGAGGAAGAGGAGGACGACAACAGCTGTAGTGACTCCAAAACTCTCATCACACAGGACTCCGAATCCACAGAGATTCAAGAGGCGGAGGAGGGGATTTCAGAGGAGGTTTCCACTGAACCCAGTATGGTGGAGGAAGAGGAGGATGAGGAGGAGGAGCCGACAGACACGTAGCTAATATTTAATAATAGACAATGAAATTGAGTTCCAAAGCGCACGTTGCACTCCGAGACCTCGACTCCTCTCCACGAGCTGCCTGGAGACCAGAGGACACTAAGACTTCGGTAGGTTGTCGTTTTATTTGCACTCAGGAATAACATTTCAGTCCTCTGTCTTTTTCGAGCTTGGTTTTGTTTACTTTTCCCCCTCCTCCTCCGGGATTCGACACAAAGCAATCGGAGGAGACGCCAGCGGGGATCCACGCGGGAACACGTTTCCTTGGATTTCAAAGAGACCTTATTTTCTACGTTTTAAGTCTTCCTAAACTTTGACTGAGACAAAATTTCACAAAAGACAAAAACCCCACAGCCCAGCGCTGTCACGGCCTCTCGATGATTTTGTACGGTATACATACAGATTTTTACATGGTTACTTTTAATATCAAAGCAGCAGCTGTTGCGTTTTCACTGAAACTTGACGCGAAGGGTAACTTGCAAGTACGCAACGTGGGTCGTGCGTTCGCCACCATACACACTCATATCACTGCTGTCACACACACTCCTCTCAGAAGCTTTACCTCCTGTCAATCATCTACAGACGCTTCATGTTCATTGAACTCTTTTCTGATTCATTTCTGTCTTGAGTTCTTTCAGCACTTAAAGCCTGGATTATAAACATATTAACACATTTATAATATGCATCTATTCATAGTTAAATTCACTGAAACACATCAGTATATATATATATACAGGTGAAACTCGAAAAATGAGAAAATCGTGCAAAAGTTCATTTATTTCAGTAATTCAACTTAAAAGGTGAAACTAATATATTATAGACTCATTACATGCAAAGTGAGATATTTCAAGCCTTTATTTGTTATAATTGTGATGATTATGGATTACAGCTTATGAAAACCCCAAATTCAAGCTTAGAATATTGTGAAAAGGTTTTCATAAGCAAAATGATAACAAATAAAGGCTTGAAATATCTCACTTTGCATGTAATGAGTCTATATAATATATTAGTTTCACCTTTTAAGTTGAATTACTGAAATAAATGAACTAATTTTTTACAGTTTCACCTGTACATATATATATATTAGTGTTATCAAATCGATTAATCGTGATTAATCACATATAAGTAACTTATAATAACTTAAGTTTGTGTTCATATAATGTGTGTGTGTGTATATATGCATACATACATGCTTTATGTATTCATAAAGCATTTACATACATAAACCCAACCACACACATATATATTTAAATTAAAATATTAACACACACACATGTGTGTGCATGTGTTAATATTTAAATATATTATTATGGATTATATATATATAAATGTGTATAATACAGGCACACATTAATATAAATATATATTGTTTTTGTAAATTGTGCCTTTAAGTTTAATTACACACACACACACACACATATATATATATATATATATAATATTCATCACAGGCACCAAGTAAAGTGTTACCAACCTTCATTTAGGAACTTCATCGTTGACTTCAGTCTTTAATCATGCGAAGACTTTTGTCTTTAATCCTGTTGGTTCTCGTCATCACTCCAGCTCAAGCTAAACCCCTGCTAAAGCAACATCCCGTTACGGGTGTATCACATGTTAACCTTAAACCTCTCAAGGCATTTATCTGAAGCACTTCTGTTGTAAGGACATCTGTAGTGTGTTTGTGTTTATTTTTTTGGCCTTTTATTTGCAGGATCTCACATCACGCGTGAACTAAAAACACCACATCATGTACGTCGGACATGAGTAGCTCCTCTATACGAGTGTCTGTTGATGTTCGCTGCCTTTCGATTGGACTCATTTTCCCACATCCACTCATTAGATCGGAGATCTCCTCTTAGGGCTAGATGCAGTTTAGCGTCAAAATCCGCATTTTCATTTCATGCCAAAACTTCCCTCCCGCACCGGACAAGCACTATGCGGCACGTGGCTTTTAACAACGACTTATTTATATCAGTATATGGTTTTTATTTATTGTTTGAAAGCAGTACTGTAGACCATCAACTGTAGCATAGAGCGTGTGGACTTGCAAGTTACAGGTCTTTGGTCGTGTACATAGAACAAGCCTTTTTAAAGTCTGTATGAAATATAATACGCTCACAGAAACTTGAAACCTGGCTCGAGTAGTACTGAAATATTTTTATTTAAGTTTTGTGCCATGATATTCTTTCCTCACCAGATGACCTTACCTGATTATGGATTTTTTTGTTGTTATATATATTTAGTTTTTTTGGCTGTTTACAACGATGTATTTATTTTGCTGTATATATTGTAATGTTTGTTGTAAATGATGACAGATTCTAAACTTCATCCCGGATGGAGTTGCTGTATTTGGTAAACTCTTGTTGAGAGAATGTTTATTATTATAGATATTATCCAATGTAAAAAAACAACAAAAAAAAAACAATAATATTCTGTATAAAAATGAGCTGGTTTCTGGAGATCTGGGGAAAACCAAACCGTACGAGACGCGTCGCCACTGGCGTTTGGCCCCAGGGCTGTGCCTTAACTTTAAAACATCTGTGTGTGTGTGTGCGTTTGGTCTCTTTACGTGTTTTAGAGAGTCTGCCCGAGTATCAGGGCATCTTATGTGCTGCATTTAGGACGCCTTGGGTTTCTTCTTTTCATTTGTAGGTCTGAAACAGTGGCACACAGCGAATGCAATAGACCCAGGACAGTTTGCTTTGCCCTTGTGATCTTCTACTTTCATGCTGTTTAACTTTGTTCAGGTACCGTCTGCTACCATCATCTCATCCAGCCTTGTAGATGTGCTTGTGCACGAACTGAAAGAGTTGCAGATGTTAAATAAGCATACTTTCTGACACGCATACTGTAGATTTTAGCAGCCCTGGACCAAAGCCAATCGTGGCTATTATTATTATTATTACTATTATTGGTATTTTTTCAATGTCATTAAAGGGATACTTTTAAGATTTGATTCCTAAGTTCTGCTGATTAAAAACCGAAACACTTTTGTCTCTTACAGTCTTTTGCCGGTACTGTAGATCCATCTCCAATCGGTTTAAACTACAAAAAAAAAAAAAAAAAAAAAAGACAGAAAAAAAATCATTTTATATGCAACGAATGAAATAAAAGCATGGGTTGATTCCACACGTGTGTGTGTCGCATGTTTGTGTGTGTTGCGGATGTGAAGCTTGTCTTTGGTTAACTGAAGAACATGATTTGGTTTGAACGAGTCAAACTGAAAGTCTTCTGATGTGGTTCGTCATGCGGTGCGTCATCAGTTCTTCCAGAGAATCGCTGACATCTAGTGGACGCTCTGCAAACGACAACCTCGTGCGCCACTGTGATCTTGGCCATTTTATTAAAGGTCCCGTTCTTCATGGGTTTTTTTAAGCTTTGATTGTGTTTACAGTGTGCAATATAACATGTGTCCATGTTTCGCGTGTAAAAAAAAACACAGTATTTTTCACACAATGTACTTATCTGTATACCGCTGTTTTCACTGTCCAAAAAACGGCCAGATGACTTCCTTGTTTTATGAAATCCCTCCTTCAGAAATACGTAACGAGTTCTGATTGAGCCAGCGGTTCCTGTGTTGTGATTCGACAGCAGCTGATCGCACGTTCCCCGGAAAGGTCACGCCTCTCTTACCATAAATTGGAGATGCATATGCGCAGCTGAAGTGCTTCTTCTCCGTGGGAGCGCAACAAGACCACGCCCCCTTTTTTGTGTATTCCTGTGGGTGGAGATTAGTCAAAAAACTGTTCTAGTTACGCAGGGTTTATGCAGGAATCATAGAGATGAATTTACTACCTTTTACTACCTTTTTTACTACCTCCACAATATTTTTTACTACCAACACGACATATATTCTATGTAACGTTACAATGTTCTCAATATAATTCATAATCCCACGTTTATAATGAACAACGCGTTATGGTTATTGTGTTATTAAAAACTGTGTACGCAGAGGGGCGGGGTGACCAAAGCTCATTATCATTTAAAGGGATGTGATTGTGCACTGAAACGGCGTGCTGAAAACAGAGCTATTTTTGAGCTGGTAAAATGAGTGTTTTCTTAAAATACTAATGAGAATTTTTGATAAAAGTATATTACAAAGTTTTCATTTAGACCCTAAAGATTCATATTAACTTGTACAAAAATGGCATTATATGACCGCTTTAACCCTAGCCCTTGAGTTATCCTAACCATTACGTTAGCCCTTAGCCCTAATAAGGTGAATAATAACCTTGGCACTTAAAAACAAATGACACTTAACAGCCATAAACTTTAATAAAGATTAATAATAAAGTGTGTCACATCACACACACTTACCCACAAACACACATTCTCACACACACAGACTTAAGCAGTGAAATTACTATCCCAAAACAGCAATTTATTTAAATCACATCTCTAAATGTGCTTCAAATATGGCACTGCTTTGCTCCTCCCTCACGCGAACCCGTTAAATATTTTCAATTAGGGATGCACGATACCACTTTTTGCAGAACGAGACGGATACCAATACTTTCATTTTTGGTACTCGCCGATATCGATACCGTAACCGATCCCTGAATTTTCACTGCATTTGTAATTTTTAAATGTATTAGTAGATAAACCAAAAGAATATAAATCATATTAGTTGGCTTAATTTGTTCATCAAATATATATTTCCTTCAGATATTTTCATGCTTAATTAATCCTGCTAAAAAGCATGCTTCTGTTTCTGTCACTGTTCATTCTATTGCTCTATCATATTTTATCTTTCATTTAATACAGGGTATACACAGAAATTCTTAAAATTAATTTAATACCTTCACTATATTTTTTAATACCATCACGACTTCAAGATGCAACTGTAGTGGCGTATATAGAGACAAGTAAAGTAATGAAATATCTTCGAAAACTTGCATTTCCCCATAATGTCCAGGGTTTTTTCCTTGGTCAAAATTGGTCTTCGTTGGTGGCCGACAGACACTTATCCTTTCTTGCCCTTTTTAAAAAAAAAATACTTCTTTGCTGGACGTGATAATTGTTTTGGTATAATCATATCAATATCAAAAAGTAGAATAAAAACGGAGCATTAAAAAGTTTATTTTAAAAGTTTATTGAAGTCTAATTTTCTACCATATACTGTAAAATTTAATAGAATTAGCTGCCAGATACTTTTTTTTTAAAAATTAAATAACAAAAATTGCTGCTAGATAACAACTTGCTTTGCACTTTTTTTCTGGTTTCACCTCACTCCAGTCTAAACTAATTTTTTTTTTTTTTTTGCAATGTTTCTACACATTATAACATAAATAACCTGAAAATACTACGTAGTTTACAACATACATGAATTGTTTGTTCATATTACTTCACAGTGCATTAACTAATGTTAACAAATACAACTTTTGATTTCAATAATGTAGGCTATATGGTGAAATTGACATTAAGAAAGATTAATTAATGATGTAGACGTGCAGTTTATTAATAGTTCATGTTAACTAATGTAGTTAACTAGATTTTAATAAATGGAACCATATTGTGTTACCGATTCAGAAGTCCCGTGAGGACAGATCCGTTGTGTTAACCATTCATTAAAGTGACGCGTCATTAGCGGACGTGTACGCATTGTGTGGTTATCCCATCAGTTAGGACATCGCACAAAATTTGTGTCAACAAATAGGTTTTTTTAGGATAGATTTT